ACACTGAACTTTATGGTTAATTTAAGATTTAATTTTATTGAATATATTATTTATATATATATATATATAATTATCATGTAGAGCAAACTTTTTAGTTAAAATAGAAACAACATGTTCTAGGCAACTCATAAAGAGAAAAATAAAATTTAAAATGCAGTATGAAATTTGCAATGTTATATAAGTAAATCTACTGCTAAAGAACATTATGTTTTTATGGCAGTGATTACAATAGCTTTGATGACACAAGATAATGCAAAATGGATATGATGAAGCATTCCTAATTCAAAACACTTATGGTAGAGGACGGTGTTATGAAGGGTTAAAGAGAGGGAGAAACGAGGAAAATGGTTAAAAGATACAAAAATTTTAGTTATAAAATGAGTTAGTTCTCGGGTTGAATGTCCAGCATAGTGACTATAGTTAATAATACTATATTGTCTACTTAAAATTTACTGAAAAAGATTTATTGTTCTCTTACACCAAAGATGTAACTATGTGAGGTGATGGACATGTTAACTTGACTGTTGTAATCATTTCATATTGAATACTTGTTATCTTACATCATATATATATATATATATATATATATATATATATATATATATATATATATTTATTTGTCAATTACATCTCAGTAAAGATCAGATGGGACAAGAAAACCATAGAAAAAATTAACAACTAAAACAAACCAAAAAATATCTATGCTAGTCCAGAGCAAGACATTAAGACATTAAAAATTATAATAGAATTCTATAGAGAATTTGTGTACATTTTTATATGTATATTCAGAGATTTACTGTAAGAAACTAGACTCAATGAAATTTATGGAAACGACTTGCAGAGTGAGTTAGTTGGCAGGCTAGAGACCCAGGGATCAATGGTATGGTTCCAGTTGAGGTCCAAAGGCTAGAAGGCTGGGACAATGAAGATGTAGATCCAAACTGAAGGCTGGCAGGCTTGAGATCCAGGAAAAACTAATGTTTCAGGTAAAGTCAGAAGGCAAGAAACAGCTAATATCCAAGTTCAAAGACAGTCACACAGAAAAATTCTGTTCTATTCAGAGAGGATCAGCATTTATATTTTATTCAGGCCTTCGACTGATCAGATGAAGACCAATCGTATTAAGGAGGCAAGCATCTTTCCTCAATTGATCATATTGAATTCATCCAAAAAACACTCTGAGAGGAACAACCTGAATAATGTTTGACAAAATACCTTGGCACCATGTGGTGCAGTCAAGTTAAATTAAAATTAACTATTACTATTACAAAGGTCTTGTAATTTTACTATTTTCCTACACTAAGGAAATAATATGCAATAAACATTTACTTGCCTATCCCATTGTAAAAGGCATTAGAAATACAGCAATGAATAAAACAGAGGAAAGGCTCTGTCTTCAAGGTGAATACGCAGTTAACAAATATATAAGTAAATTATAAAGTATAGGTGATGGTAGGCTGTGGAGACCAATAAAGCAGGCAAGAGAACTAGAAAATCTGGGAAGTGGGATTAGGGAATTTCAATATTGTTAAGGTTAGGATCTGCTGAGATAGCAACATTTGACCAAAATCTGAGAGAAGCAAAAGAGTTCTTGGTAAAGGCAACAGCAGATACAATGACTATAATTTTGAAGCATGCCTATCAGGCAAGGAAGCTCATATACACAGAATAAAGTTAAGAGATATTAAGCAGTGAAGGCAGGTACTAAATGGGGAGGGGAGAGCATTTTACTTAAGATCTTGGAAATCATTATAAGGACTGGGGTCTTTGCCTTCTGGAGAGTTCTGAGTGTAGGTAACATGATCTAACTTACATTTGAAGATCACTCTAAATATTTTGTTAAAAAGACATTGAAGAAAAGAAAAAGTAGAAGCAGGGAGGCCAAAAATAAATAAATTAGGCTCAAAGTAATGATAATTTAGGTTAGAAGTGGGTGTATTTGGATTTCCTGAAAACTGGTTGAGAAGAGCAAGAGAAAAAGAGTTAAGGATGATTCAATGGTTTGTGGCTTGATCAAATGGAAGAACTGAGTTGCCATTAATTGAAAAGGGGAAAGATTGAGCAGGATATGGTGGCACACACCTGTAATCCCAGCTACTATGGAGGTTGAGGCAAGAGGATTGCAAGTTCTAGGCCAGTCTCAGCAATGTAGTGAGACCCTGTCTGAAAATAAAATGAAAACGAAGAGGCCCTGACTGAAAAAAAGAAAGAAAGATTAAAAAAGAAACAGGTTTGGGAAAAATAGATTAGGAGTTTGGTTTTAAATAGTTAAGTTTCAGATCTCCAATAGACACAAATAAGATATATAGTAAGTGGCTGGATATACAACTCGGTTAACAGTTGGATATGCAATAAGCAGTCAGAATTCAGAGTCAGTCCATGTAGATAAAAATTTGAAAGTAAAAATGAAAAAGAAGAAAAAAATCATCAATACACAAATAATCTTGACAACTTTTGAACAGGATGTGTTAGCAAGATAATGAAAATAAAAAAGAGTTCTAAGGTCTGAGTACTGGGACATTTGCACCCTAAAATTGAGAAGATAAGTAGGCACTAACAAAGAAGACTGAGCAAAAAGTAGCCAGTGAGGTAAGAGGACATCAACTGTGGTATTCTGGAAAACAAGGGAAGAAGTGTATCAGGGAAGAAGTGATTAATGACATCAAGAGCTATTAGTAAGCCAAGTTAGATGGGGTTTAAGAAATTACAATAGTACAGTCTTTTAAATAAATTATACAAATATTATCCACATCAGAATTTCCAGGGAAACCAAAGAAAAGGGAAAGAAGTATGATGACATTTTTCCTCCCAAGATTAGAAATCTGTGTGCCAACCAAATTTCATACCTGTTAATCATAAAATTGGGATGATTGCATATTTTAGAAGACTTTTACAAGGTCAGGTGTTAGTCTTATTTCAAGGTACATAAATATTTAAAAATAGTGAGACATGAATCATACGTTTTTATTAATTCTGAAATCTGACTTTTGTTTTTTGAAATAGCTTTATTGAGATATAACTGATACACAATAAATTGTCCATACTTGAAGTGTGTAATTTGGTAATATCTTAGACAGGTATATCTCTCCGAAACAATTAACATGATCAGGATAGGAAATGCATCAATTACCTTCTAAATTTTGCTTTATTATCTCCTTCCACCACTAGCCCACTTGCAAAATTAGAAACAAAATGTTTTCTATTTACTCATATAATGACTATTTCCAGGGCTCTTGATCTCTTTGTTTCAATACAAATATCCCCTTGATATTATTTTGCTTTAATGTGAAAAACTATTCTTAAAGTATAGGCTTGAGGTGATGAATTCTTTCAGATTTTAACACCTGAAACAATATCTTTAGTTTGCTTTTGTAATCTTTGTTTTTGAAAGATGCTTTTGCTAGGAAAATTCTGAACTGTCAGTGAACTTTAAAAATATTACTTAAAAGACTCCTATTCATTGTTTTCTGGCTTGCATTGCTTATAACCAAAGTCTAACATCATTCTCATATTTTCTTCTGTCCATGTAATGTGTTTTTTTTTCCTCTAGCCACTTTCAAATTTTTCTTTTTAATACTCAATTTAAGCAATTTGATTATGATTTGTCTTGATGTTGTTTTCTCTAGAATTTTTTACACCTGGGGCTTGCCAAATGCATTAGAATTATAGGTATACATATTTCATTGTCTTTGGAAATTCTTCATTCCTTATTTCTTCAAAAAAATTTTTTTGTACAATATCTTCCAGGTTCAAGGGCTCCCAATCACTTATCAAAACACTTCAAGTATCCCATTGCTCAGTGACACAATAATTGCTTTTTACAATCTATTTTCCATGTTTCATTAGGATAATTTCAAATGGTGTGTCTTCAGGTTCCCTGATCTTTTCTTCTTCAGTGTCTAAAATGTTTTAATACTTTCAAATATATTTTCATTACACATTATAGCCTTCAACTCTAAAAGGTCAACTTGTACTTATTTTTACATATTCCATGCTAAATTCTTTCTCTAGCTTACTGAATATTTAGAATACAGTCATAAAATCTTATATTCTTATTTATAATCCTATCATCTATGTCATTTCTTTTGTAAGTTGACTTTTATCCTTATTATAAGTTGCATATTCTCTTGATTCTTTGCATGCCTATTAAATTAAAAAAATTTTTTAGTTGTCAATGGACCTTTATTTATTTTTATTTATTTATATGAGGTGCTGAGAATTGAACCCAGTGCCTCACACATGCTAGGCAAATGCTCTGCCAAAGAGCCACCATTCCAGCTCCCAATTAAGTTTTAATTGGGTGCCAGATATTGCATATTTTGGGGTGCTGAATAATATTGTATTGCTATTAATATTTGGGGGTTTTGTTTTATCAGGTAAGAACAGAATGACGTTTATAATCTAAATGGAAGCCTTGGAATTTATTTATACGTGCTTATGCTAAGCAGAATGGTACAATATTAAAAATATCCTATAATTTGCTGATTATACAGAAACCATTGTATCTTTTGTTCCACTATTTGCTTTAATTCATACAGTGATTTCCTATACCTTTATTTAATATTTTCAAGATGAAAGTTAAAATTTCAAGTTTTTTAAAAGAAATTCTTAAGGACAACAGTTAAGTCATACTTCATGAGCACTCAAGAAAGGATTACCTTTGAGAAAATCTGCTTCAGAAGTAGTAGTTAATATGAAATAGATTATGTTAAAATAAGAAAATCACAATTAGATAAAAAGATTTAGAGGATATTTCTCTCCAGTAAGTTGTTTAAACTGGATTTAAAAAAAAAAAACAAAAAACTATTAAGCATGACTTTTTTTGAGTGCCTGGTCCAACAATTTTACGTAATGTGTTTTAAACAGTTTATCCTGATATGGATTTTAAGTTAAAAAATTGTCTAGGAACACTAATTTGCTTGCATAACATATTTTGCTTACATATAAAATCAATCTTTTATGAAATATCCAAAATGCAATACTGAATTAATATATAATACCTGTAAAATGTTAGCAGGGTCTTCTTTAGCAGATGCAACCAACAAAACATGCCCATTGATGAGTCCTTCTGCCAGAAAATACTTGAAGAGCAACGATGAGTAAACATCATATTTATCCTCCTCTGTTAAAAAGAAAAAAATTATTGTCAGAATCCTATAACACATCAAGAACTCTTACATTTGTCTGCAATGCTTTCTCTCCGAAACAAGTATATGAGATGGGGCAATAATTTATATCTTCCTAAGACAGAAGACAATTAGACAGACCAAGAGACCTGTGAACATACCCAATGAGAAGTAAATACTTCTAACAGAGACTTTTTGACTTCAAACATCATTCTCCAACTACTACATCACTTTCATAGCCACAAAACTTAGTGGATTATGTATGATTATATCAAAAAAGGCAGAGATATTTTCCTTTTACTAAGATACAGTGCATTTTTTCAGGCACTCTGCCTCTAAAATAGCTATTATTTCCCACCAGCCAGTCTATAAACTCACTTCAGTTCTTTATACACCTATCCTGGTGATTATATTTATAAAATTTAGAAAAATTCTATCATTCCCATTCTGGTTTTGGGTTTAAAATCCAAATACTTTGAAATTGAAGATTTTAATTTGACAGAGTCCTTAAATTTGCACTAAATGCTTTCCCAGTAAACTGTTCTTTTGCTTTTTGTTACTTACTTTTCCTTCCTTATTTATGAATTTTAAGAATTAAATGATGATTCAGGAAGTTTCTTGGACAAAACTGTGTTACATTTTTCATATTTCATTCTAAAATGAAAATAGGTTCAGTATATCTTTGTTCTCTTAATATTGTTGATAAACAACATGCCTACACTTTTATGTCAGCTTTCTTTCCTTTAATAATTGAACACAATACTAAGACAAGAAATGCAGGCAAATTTATTGCACTGTCTTAAATGAGAATAGTCATTATTAACTTTTTCAACAAATATTAATTAATTTAATTCCCATAATATACTAGGTATCACTAATATCTGTTAAACTTACACTATGAAAACATTTCTAAGGAGATTGGAATTTGTGGTAATGATAGAAGAGGTCATTGTGCAAAATCACCTACAACTGTAATTATAAACCCTGGACAAAATTCCATTAAAAATAGTCATTAGAAGCCGCTGAGAAGCAGGTAGCAAACCACAGTAAAATTTTGTTTTGAAAGACAGTGATCCTGACATGCAACAACTTTTAAGCTTGTGGCTTTTTGACAGGATGTTCCTAATTTCCCTTGGTTCTGGCCATAGGATAGAGTTTAGATTTGTCCAAACAACTGGAAAGCTCAGGGAAAAATCCTAAAGTAAGAAAGCTCAAGGACAGACACAAAAATATGATTATCAACCATGCTCAAATCCCTGACTGAACACTAAATTAAGCATGAGTGAGAGGAAGAAACAATAGGAAGAAAAAGGAACATAGGACAAATACAAAAGATACAAGTCTATCACATAAAATTGGCATGTCTGTAACTCCTCTGAAGGCACATGTTCCCCCAGTCTGAGATCAGCTTGGACTGTAAAGTTGTATTGCCTTGAGTTGTCAGAAAACAGAATTCATTGCTGAAAAATCAGAGAAAAAAATAGTCTTCGAAATCTGAATGTGAATTCTGTTCAAATATTTAGCTGTCTACTAAACGATGTGAGTGCATGGGGGAACCCAGATCAAAAGGACGAACTCTTAAAAGCTGGAAAAACTGGGCAGAGATGTTATCTGCTATATAATATACTGAATAGATGTCATCTGCTCCGTAGCATACTGAAGTTAATCATTTAAGTCTAGGCAAGTTAATTATTAAACAAGCAGAAAAAGGATAAAAACAGAAATCCTCAGAAAAACACAATAGATTGGAACCAGTCACTAACAACTATGCATTATTTGCAATGTTCTAATTTTCAACACAAAATTACTGGATATGACCTCCTAAGGAAAAATAGTCCGTAGAAACCAACTCCAAACGAACTCACGAGTTGAAATGAACAAAAAAATACTTCACGGAAACTATTATACGTCCAAAGCATAAAAGGAAAATATGGTATCATTAAGTGAAGAAAAAGAGAATATCAATAGAAAAACAGAAATTATAGGAATTAAAAAATTATATTTGGAGATTTTATTATACTGTTCTTAATAATTGGCAGTACAATTAGAGAGAAAAATCATTAAAGTAGTAGAAAGTACAAATTACTACATCAATTACCTTAAATAATTAAATACAACATATAGATGCAGAATGTATATATATTCCTTTGTAGTGCATCTGCGATGTGTACTAAGATAGACCATATGCTAATTCAAAATACAAGTCTCAATAGATTTATAGGTGCTGGGGATTGAACCCAGTGCTGCAGCTGTGTTAGGCAAGCACTCAACCACTGAGCCACAACCCCAGCCCAACAATAAAATATTTAGAAAAACTCCAAATATCTGGAAATCGAAGCATACATTTTTAATTAACTGTGGCTCAAACTTATATGAAAAGGGAAATTAAAAGATATTTTAAATTAAATGATTATAGAAATAAAATATATGAAAAGTGGGATTAGCTAAAGTGTATCTTAGAAGAAAATAAAACAACTTAAATCTATTATCTAAGCTTTCATTTAAAAAAGTTAGACAAGGGGCTAGGGATGTAGCTCAGAGGAGGGGTGTTTGCCTAGCATACATAAGATTCTGGGTTAATCCCCAGTACCACTAAATAAATAAATGGAAAAATAAAAAGCCAGACAAATAAGCTCATATAAAATTTAGATAATGTTAATGATGAAAGTAATTAAGAAAAATCAGTGAGAAGAAAAACTGGGCTAATAACAAGAAGATATAAAACCAAGGACACAAAAAATTAGTTTCATGAAAAGATCAATAAACTTGATATACCTTTGACTAGACTGACCTAGATAAAAGAAATAGGCAACAAATAATCAGTATTGGCAATGAAATGGGAGTTTTTTTTTTTTTTTTTTTTAACCAAAGATCTCACAGACATTAAAAATACTAAAATAGGTATTATGAACAAACAACTTTATGTCAAAAAGTTTCATAACTAGAAGAAACAGAACAACTCCTTGAAGTTTTCAGGTAACTGAATATGATAAAAAAGCAGTAAGCCAGAATTAAATTCATATTTAAAATTATCTTCCCCCATGCACACTTCAGACACAGGGAACTTCATAAATAAATCTAATCAAACATTTTAAGGAAGAAATAATACTAGTACTTAACAAACTCAGTAAGAAGGAAAAGGAAATAATTCCCAACTTATTTTATAGGCATTTTTTTACTCTGATAGAAAAACCAGAAAAAGTAAAACAAACAAGCAACCATTATCTTTATTTACAGAAGGTATTATAACAAATTCTATATGTACTCTTTTAGAAAAAAAGGAAAGAAACTCTTCCAAACTAATTTTATGAGATCAGTGTGACCGTAATACTAAAACTAGACCAAGACATCACGGGAAAACTACAGACTAATGTGCCTCATGAATCTATATAAAAACAATGGTTTTAAAAGTATACAACTAAATCCAGTAAAAGAATAACATAATATGGGTATGATTAAATGAAGTTTATCACAGATTTGAAAAATTCATGTATCACAATAACAAATTAAAAAACTAAAGCCATATAATAATTTCCAAAAAGCAAAGACATTTAACAAAATCCAAAAGCAATTCATAAAAACTTTTAGCAATTTAGGAATAGGATTGAAACTTTTCAACCTGATACACAGAATTTACAAAAATCTATAGGTAACATCCTAGTTAGTGGCAAAATGGAATGCTTTTCTCCTGAGATTAGAAATAATTGAAGTATATTCACTCTATGACTTCTAATCAATGTTGTACAGAAGGTTTTAGTTACATAATAAGCCATTAAAAATAAATAAAAGTTCTAACACTTGGAAGGTTATCATACACTTAGGAAATCTTATGGCATCTACCAAAAGTCTAGTAAGATAATAAATCAAGGTTATCAAGGTTGTGGCATGGAAGGTTAGTATATACAAAGCAATTGTACTTCTATAAAGTAGTAACAAATATTAGAATCTGACAATTTTAAAATTCTACTTACAATTGATTCTCAAAACATAAAATATTTTGCAAAAATTTATCAAAGTATATGCTCGAAGTACTACATTGAAAAATAAAAAAGATTCAGAGAGTAAAAGAAGATCTTTAAAAATAGAGGGACAGATCATGTTCTTAGAATGGAAGATTAAAATTTATCAATAGATTTGATGGACTCCAAATGGAAATCCTAGTAAGGTTTTTAGAATGTAGACAAACTAATTTAAAAATTTGCATAGAAATCTAAAGGCATATCCAAATTGCCAGTATTAATAATGTTATACCTTGGGGCCACTTATTAAGTAAAATAAAGGTTACCTGAACACAATCATTGTGATACTATAATAGCCAATTTGATAATCTAAATGGCCACCAAGTGACAGATGGCAGGTAGTATATAAAATATGGATACATTGGATAATATCTGATGGTTCCTCTCCCAAGCAGTAAGGAGTGAATGCAGCACATGACTGAATGATGCTACTCAGAATGCAAGAAATTTTTTAAAATATGTTTATTTATTTCTGGAATTTTCCCTTTAATATATTCAACTATTGTTAACTGTGGCTCTTCATATAGAAAGTAAAACAATGGATATGGGTGGTTTACTGTAGTGACTTTTCTAAAATAAAAACCTGATCATTTCATTTCCTTACTTAAAACGTTTTGGTGATTTCTCACTGCTCTTAGGAGAAAAAACTAAATCCTTTAACTTGGCCTACAGGATCTGCATGGTTGTGGCCAAAGTGTAGAGTTCAATGTAAATAAATAAAAATATTTGTCTTAAGAGAGGTATAGTAACATTGCCATTTGCCTCTTTTAAATGTACATAACAGCTATTTAACAACTTTTCAGTAAAGAACAAAATAAACTAATTAGAAAAACAAAAATATCTGTAAAGGTAAGGACATATATCATAAAACCCCTAAAACAAAGCAGTTAAGCCCCTCTAGATCTTGTGTTGCCTCCTTTCTCAATTCTTCCCTTCTGTATGATATACCCCAGGCACAGCAAACTACTTACTGGTAC